GTGAAACACTGCAGCATACTCATGCAAGTGCAAAGGAGGAAGGTTTGACATGTGAAAAGATCTGTTTACTACAAGCTTTGTTGCCAGAATGATCACAGAGGAAATAATTCTGACAACCTAATGATGCCTATTACATTTCTGTCAAGGAGAATTGTTGTGTTACTGTCTCTCTGTTATTTCACTCTGTTTCTACACTTGTGAAGACTATCCTGCTAATTTTTTCAAGATTGTATTTCCATCTGTAACAACTCTGTTATAAAAATAAAAGTTAAATTTCTGGAAACAGGAATTTAACACAGTTGTGGGTTTCGCAGCCTAAGGAATGCTGAACATGGCATCCACATGTTCTACTAGTGAACTTCTGTGGATACACATTAACAGCAGCATTTTCCCTTGATTTGGTATACTGCATGTGTTGCAATAAATAAACCCAGAATTCTTAATGTACTTACCTTTGAGGTTTTTTAAACCAAGTAGGGGTTTGTTTCTCATGTTTTTGCAAGTGTTACCTACACAAGTGTGTGCTACATCTGATATTTCCCTGGACCTCAGTTGCAATGCTCTGGTGAATTTTTAATATGAAAAGTGTATTTCTGCCAATTTCTGCAGTGTAGACTCAGTTATATTCCCAGAAAAAGGAAAGGGAAATTAAATCCCCATTAACAAAAAAAATCTCTGCAAATGAAAAATCACCTAAACACTTCACTTTGCACCTTGGCACATCTTACTTGGTGTGTTGGCAACTTAGACATTCTCAGGCACTGCTTCCATATCCCCATGAGGATGATCATATACCAATACAAACCAATACTTTACCTTTCATGGAAACTTTGTGTCAGATGGATTTTTGTAGATTAAATATCTTGATAGCAAAATGATACAATATGAAGTATGCAAAACTGGGATCTCAGGAAGGGCAATGCAATAGGGATCATAATCAATAAGTTCAGTTGCAAAATCTCCCCTACTTAGAAATTGGTATCTCCTTGAAATAATGTTGAAAAGAAATCCTGTGGCTCTCACTACATTGCAGAGAATGTCAGAATATACAAGTGGGTGAAACTGGTGAGTGAGGCAGTTGGGGGCCAAAATGTAAGATGACATGCACAGAACTGAGCTGTGCAGAGGTGGGGAGATGCAAGAACACATTTAGAACTGGAATGAAAATGAACTTTTTTTTCACTGGGCCTCTTGTGTGCTGCCCACGCATTAGCCTGTGCTCACACTACTTTACACGTTAAATATTTCTCAGATAAGGAGGAGGGAGTGAAAAACAGTTATGAAACACATGAATTAAACTTTGGTGGTGGTAAATATCACAAATTCTCCTCCCATTTGAAAAGTCTTGTGAGATACAATTTAAAAAATTGATGTTTTCCTTTCCTATTGGTACTGAGAAATGGAGATCTAGATTTCTAAATGTAACCTGTACCCACACATTTCCAAAGTCTATGTGACATAAGAAGTTTTTTTAGATTTGCGTATATAGGAGAGGAAGGAACAAGTCTGGAAAGGTGCATGTTGTTTCTGGTTTTGGCCATGTGAATTTTATCAGGGAAAAGATAAATAATGCTATATTTAAATGCCCTAGTGTGGCTTAATCTTCATTTGAGACTTCAAAATCTTTTCTGTAAATCTGTCTCATGTACATTCGCTGTGGATGACAAAGTCTTAAATGTAGGTATAATTTTTGATATTAGAACTCAAATTGGCTTGATAAAATCATTGGATCAACCTGCTTCTCTTTTTTTGGCAATAGGTAAGATGTGCCCCTTACAATTTTCCCTGTAATACTCATACCAGAAGGGAAGATGTTAATTCCCTTTGATCAGGACCTTCTGCATGATGGGTACATAGGTACTTGGCATCCATCTCTGTCAGCAAGAGTTTCTTGCAAGTCTGAGTTTCAGGACATCATTTCTAATGGAGGAACGTGTTGCTGACCTGTTATACTGAGTTTGTTGGATTGTGTTTATGCTCAATAAAGGTTTGTTAATTGTGGGGATCAATCATATGCTGCTACACTGTATTCAGTAATTTTTCTTTTGTCTGGGAATTACATTTTTTAATACCAACTGAAGTACTGTGTTGGTCTTGATGAGGTAATTATTGTTGTGTTTATCTGGATTAATGCATCTGGGGCTAGTTTTTTTACCCAGGAGTAACATCAGCTCAGCAAAGAGGTCATTCCTGGCAGCTCTTTGCTGATACGATTTCCTCTTTATTTTTGTCCGTGAAAGTTCTGTAAGCAGTACTCTGATATTCAGAGGGTGTGAGGGAGGTAATGGCTGTGCAGAGAACCAGTATCGCTTGCACTTCTAACAGATGTGCTTTTTACCCATTTCATTAGACATTTGCACGTTGTTGTATGTTCATCTTTTCAGTATTCCGCCTGTCACCACGAGATGGGGCAGGTGACCATGGAGCGCCGGGGCTGTAGAAAGAACGACAAAGAACCAGATGGAAGAGTTTCTAGTTACTCCCTGCCTCTTTTTCTTTGGTCATTTCCTTCACCATGAGAGTGGTGAGGCGCTGGAACAGCCTGCCCAGAGAATGGGCATCCCTGGAGGTGTTCAAGGCCAGGCTGGATGGGGCTTTGAGCAACCTGGTCTAGTGGAAGGGGTCCCTGCCTATGGGGGAAACTTGACCTTAAGGTCCCTTACAATATGGCTTTGAGCAACCTGGTCTAGTGGAAGGGGTCCCTGCCTATGGCAGGACAGTTGGAACTTGACCTTAAGGTCCCTTACAATACAGACATTCAGTGATTAACATTACCCTGTGCACCATTGAAAATAAAAGTTTACCTGGTGTTTTAAACTCTTTGAAAATTATTTAAAAAGTCTAAAAAATATTCTCAGGAAAGAAAGGACCTGGAGCTCTTTTTTTGTTTTGTTTGGGGGATTTTTTTTAGAAATGAAATGAATATCCAAAATGCCATAGAATTTCAAAAATTAAATAATTACTTTTTATCAATTGGCTGTCTAGTCCATTTCAAAAGTATAAAATTTAAAAAACCAAACCAAATTAAAAAAAAAATAAAGATATGAAAGACATTTTTATTTTTCCTTTGGAAAAATAAAGGGTAATTAAAGTTAGTAGGTTAGTTTACTTTTAATTCAGTGAAAATTTCATTGGGATTTCCCTCCCAAGAGATTTTAGCTGTAAGTAGAAGTTTTTCTTTGAACTAGTTTAAACTAAGGCCCTCTTTCTTGTCACGCACAGACAGGGAAATACTGCAAGATGCTGGATTAGCTTGTTCGCTTTTCATTGTTTTCTTTTGTAGCAGCAATCCGTTTAGCTATGGTATGCTGAGTTTATCTGATTAGCACTTAATGAGTGAAGGGAATAGGGGCAATGTTGCCTGAGTTACTTAACCCTAATAAAGTTTTCACTACCTCCCCCCTCTCTCTAAATACCTGAACTTTCCTCACCCCCACCCCTCGCTTTTTCCCTCAACTGCAGCTCGTTCCCATAGGAAATGCACTCGGGCTCCAGCTCTGTCAGCACTAGTGCTGCCATTAGCTGGATTTTGTCCAGTGCACATTGGTCACCACAAACACCCTGCTCAACAGTGTTTGACAGTCTGTCTGGAGCTCTTACAAGCTCAGCTGCTGTTCTGCTGGCTCCGTGCCTTACCTGGGAATATTTACTAACCAAAACACTACAGACCAAAACAACCTGTAGCATGAGCATTTCTGACTTAAAACCATTAGGTATAACTGTAAGCAATAAAATAATTTCTTGGGTTGTGTTACCAATGACATTTTAATGAGGACTCACTGGAGCTTGAATAATTACATTAGATAAAGAAATTCAAGAAAGCTGATGTTTAATAGTGCTTACAAACTGTGTGTGTCATGCAGATTGTGGTTGTGTTACCATAATTAACTCAATAAGCTTCTTGCATAACACATGTTTTCCTCTGGACTTCAACTTGATTTCCTTCTTTTAGGATTAATTTTTATTTTTGCTTGGTGTTGCATTGTAAAATATTTGATAAAAAAGTGAAATTCTGAAAAATATTAGAAAAAATAATCTACATGAGTTTTTGCTGCTTAACTATTTCTTTGGTGGTTCTTTTTGTTTTATACAGAGATGCAAAGTTGTCTTAATACCAATGAAAATATGTCCAAGGAAACTGTGATTGATATTTTTGCAAGAGATTCCTTATGCATAGAGGTTCTATAACTGTTGAAGAAATAAGAAGAAAGCAATAGAAATTTAGGTGGAGTGTCAATAATAGTGCTGCTTAAGAGATCTGAATCTAGGTTTTCCTCTGAAAATATTTTCACTTATAACTGCTTAACAATACAAATATTTTATAGAAGTTATCTCACATTTCTTTTACCAGTGTCTCCAATATATGATAATCATAGTAATAATAATAGAAACAATAAATGGTCTTAGCAATAGACATCTAGCAATAGCAGTAGTGATCCTGTTGGAGCAGAATGCATGTGTATGTTTTCAAATTTTAACGACACTAGAAGAATGTCAGAAGTGCAGGAGTGCACTGGGGTATTTGAGAAAGGTGGAAGGCAACTGTGAATGTTTCTGAGGTGTGTACAGCTTCCTGCTGGGCACACCCCAAGCATTTGCCTTCCTGGGTGAGTTTCTGCAGCTGGTGGTGCTCACGTTCCCAGTGAAGCGCAGAGCACAATGTGTCAAGGTAAACTACTGTCAATAGCAGAGCCAGTCTGGAAGTGTTGCACTCTGAAATAAATGGCTGAAATTTTGGGGGAGAAATCTGTTTTTTCACTTAACTGACAACCCAAACAGTGTCGTTTAAAGTTCTCCTTGTTTCCATTGTTTTGTTTTGGTTTGTGTTTTTGTCTGTTCCTCAATATTTATAGCTCATGCCAAACTTCCATCCAGCCATTGAGAATGGAAAAAAAAGATGTAAATGTGTGTATTAGGTATTGAAATATTTTGTAATTTGATTCAAAGGTTTATTTAAATCACAAAAAGTATGTGTGTGTGTTTTTCTTTTCCCCTCTCAGGTTTGCAATTATGTGTGGCTATATGTCTCAGTTTGAAAGTGTACAAAACAAAATCAGGAATGGTTATCTCTTTAAGGTATGTTTTCGTAGGATTTGGGGTTGGTTTTTTTAAGCTATTCCTTTAAGTTATTTCCTTATATAGTGTCAAAGATAGATTTTTCCAACACAGTAATTCTGCCTCACAGGTCTATTTTGGTGCTGAAGTTAAATTGAAAAGCTTATTATTATGTAGGAAAATAAATTATATTCTTGCAAAATATAAGAAATGAGGTAGGATTCTGGGAACAGCATTAAGATTTCTGATTTCCTTTGTAGTCAAAGCGGGGAGGAAAGGCAATAATGATTCTGTTTAGAAAACCAAAACATATGAAACAGCAAGCAGTGATCTAACACAGTTCTGCAGTCATCCTTCATGTTGCCCTTAAGTAATGTTTGTTTTAACTCTGTCCTTGCAAAGGTAATTGTGTTTTTTAGAGTTAGCTGTTTGTGTTACATGTGCTACTCCCCCCCCTCCTTGTCCTCAGCATTCCTTAGACACTTTCCATCCATCCCTTGCCCTCCAAGCTGGCGTCCCCCCTTTCTGGGTGACAGTGAAAGGCAACAGACATGTTCCAGTCCCTGGGGAATGCCTGCGATGGGCTCCTCTCACATCATGTCCGTGTTAGGACTTGGAGTGTGGCAGAGCTTTCCTATGAGAGAGCATTAATTACATCTGAGCTGTGCCAAGCCAGCTAAGCCCCGAGCACTGGGATAAACTGGGAACAAAGGGAAAATGACAAATAACACAAGTGCTGCAGCTGTTCAAGGATGGAATTTTCTTAAGAGTCACTGCGGTGTGAGCAGTAGCCATTTCAGGGAAGTTTTGCTCTTCACAAATAATCCTGAAATCTGTTGATTTGGGAGGATAGTAGTATGAAAACATAGCTCCTATCTGAATAGTTTGTAGATATGATAGTATAGTAGTCTCTTATATATATGTAAGTCAAATACTTTTGTGACTGGCTTAATTAGGAAGACACATATGTGGGGGGGGGGAAGAAATGTTTGAATGAAATCTGTTTTGGGAGGCAAATGGTAGGGCTGAAATATTTATTTTTTCTTCCAGCTAAGGTTGAGCAATAAGAGCTTTCTGTGGTAAATTAAAGAGAGAAATAAAGGTACTCATGACCTGAAATGAAAATTATTTTGAAATGACCTCATTAGATATTTTACAGATTTTGTAGTTTCACTATAAACAGAACTATTTTATTTTCTGAATTTCACATTGGTTTCTGAATTTCACACAGCTGGTTGTGTCAAGTACCATTTCATTGGGGCTGTCACATTCCAGGGTGGAAGGAACTATGCTTCAGTAATGGGTGCTGGCATGTGGGATCTGTTCAAGAGTAGTTACTTCCTCACTGATTTGATCTGTGATAGTTTCCTGATACTGACTGTAAATGAAATTAATTTAATTGCAGTTGCCTTTTTAAGACAAAAGTTCTTGAATTATTTGACTGAACTTTAGAGCTATTTAGTAATGTTCTAAATACAGCATGCCTTCTTGCATTGCGTGCAACGTTGCTAAATAATTTTGTGGTTTCCCTCCATGAGGAAGGGATTTGCTAGTTAAAGTTTTAGGTTGTTAGAAGACAATTGCAGCAGAAGAGAATTTCTAAATTTGTTCCTGATTTGCAGCAAACTCCTTAAAATGTAAACACACTTGCCAAGTGAACATCTAAAGTGATGCTAATTTTCTTTCCAATAGGAGCACCTAGACAAGGCAATTGAACTTAAGCCTCAAGATCCATTTTTATATTACCTAAATGGAAGATGGTGCTATTCAGTAAGTTGTGTTTTATTTATCTAATGTATGAATTGAGTATAATAGAAAATTATAATTAAATAGTGGGACTTAAGACAAAGCAGGTATTTATTTAAGTAGATGTTTTTTGAGCTAAATGAAGCAGACATTTACACTTCCTGAGTTCACTGTCAGATGCATGATGCTCACAGTTGACCATTCCTGCAGTGTAATTAGGTAAGTTGTGCTTGCATGACCCTCATTGTTGTGTTCAGGTTTTTTATCTGAATGAATGAATAAAAAGTAACTGATTTTTGGAAGGGAGGAAGGATGACCTCTTAATTTTACTTCTTTGTTCTGCCGTAAATTTTCTGGGTGGACCTGGGCTGGTAACATAGCCTTGTGCTGACTTTATTTCCCATCCATTACTTAAGTTAAAGGCATTTAAATGCTGTGGAATTATGCCTGTGGCAGCAAGGCTACCATACTGGCTTGGTAAATTCCAAGGGAATGTCCAAATAATATTCATGCATAAAAATATGTAATTCACCAATGAGTTTTGCATGAAATGCAATTTGTGTCATACGGGTACAATATTGTTTTAGTTATATATTTTAATTTATATTTTATAAAGATTATATTAGATTATAGTAGATTCTGTAGTGATAAGTACTCATATATGAAAAAATAGAATAATTTACAAGATTAAATGTTAATAAGTTTTTTAGAAAAATTGTGCTTGTGCTTTAATAAGAGAGTTGTCTTTTTGGTAATCCACATCTTTGAGGGCTCAGCTGGCTGTCCGTACTGGTTCATCTCTAGTACTTTGAAGAATCTTTTGTTGGAAGAAAACATTCTTGCATTGTCTATGCTGTAAAAGATCACTGTGAGTCTTCTCAGAATAATGACTGCTAATGCACAGTGAATTCCAGCCAAGCTTTTTTCTTTTGGATACTTCCAGTGCAAGTCACTACAAAGTGCCGGCAAACTGGAAAGAAGGATTTGCTGTGACACATTGCAGACTTTGTCTTTATCTGCAACAAGGCTTAATGCAAAGTAATCTTTCAGCAGTTTTTCAGTTCATATATTTAACTTCCAAAGAGCTTTCAGCAACCATGTTTTTTCTCTGTTGATTTGAATAAGGAATGACACCAGCTTTTTCAAGGAATTTGACTTTTTGCTTTTTGTCACAGTGTACTCTTGAATAACAGCATTAGTTATGCAAAAATAAGTTGCTGAAGATGGTCCTTTAGTCTGCCTGCTGTCCTGCCTCTGAGAAGCATCTCTCTGACCACTGATTCCTTAAGCACTTTTATACTGTGCTGTCCCCAACAGATAACTGCAGCTTCCATTTAAGCCAAATACTCCCAGATGTTTTTCATGGCTTATTTCTCATGTGAGCTGCTGCTTTTTGGAAACACACAATCTCAGTATACTTCACTTAGTTTTTATTGCACTTTGCTTTTTACTCATTTCATTTTCATGCTAATCACCACTTCCTGACTCAGTAATACATGTGGTTTGTTGTACTGTATCATTAAAAATTCATATCCCACACTTGCAACATCTATACAGGACTTCCTTACTAAACATTGAAACCACATATTACATTTGCTTTAGGTTATGACCTGACTTGCATTTATTTGAGTGAAACATTGATGAAACAATCTACCTAAACACATGTAGCCACTGAAATATGTAAGGATTGAATTCAGATTTCTGTTGTTCTTATTTTTTTTAGTTCTTGCCTTCTGTGACTGCCATGAATAGTTACTACAAAATGGTAACCTGAAACACACAGAACAGATTTGTGTACTCTAAACAAATGCAAGTATAGGACTGAATAACATCTTGTTCAGCTTCTGGGGTTGTCAGCTCTTAAAAACTTATTGTCTTTGCACACTTTCAGTAGCAAGCTGAGGTCATTTGGAAACATTGGTTTTGAGGCATTACTAGTTTTAACCCTAGCCCAGTGAGATTGGTAATCCTCTCTAGTTTCAGCAGAGTGAATTGTTTCTGTGCTGATCCACTAACCCAGGTTTTGGCCGTGCGTGTGATATAGTAGTCATAGGAGCTTGTGGAAGATATGCCAAATTACTTGCTTCAGTTCTGCAGACTGTGAAGTTTCTGTAGTAATTATGCTGTAGTAATTATCCCAAAAGAAGACTGTTGGCTGTGGAATTGATTCCAAATACTTTGTTAGGGTAGGGATTATGATGGAGTGTTGAAAAATTCCTTTGTCACTTGTCTATTCTGGTACCTGTAGATGGAGTGATAATGCTCCTCTTAGATGTTCTGTTTTTAATGTTCAGTCTCACTGTTGTTGAGGCTGGGAAGGTGTTGTCCAGTGTGAGATAATTAAAGCAGAAAAAAGATGATTCAGGCAAGAAGGTTAGTTTTTACATTTAGCCTAGCTGATTGGGATCAAGTTAGGATTGACCATTGAATGTTTCTTCTTTCATAGGTATGGCTTCCCAGGGTATGTTTGTGCAATTTTGGTCACATATTCTTTTACTGAAACAGTGTAGTTAAAAAAATAACAAGTTTTTGATATTTTATAGGCTTTAATAGCAGTTTTGTGAAATCTGATGTACTTTAGCCTTCCTAGTATAGTCAGATATTTCCCATTTACTCCCAATTTAATGTTAGCTATTTTTTTCTTGGATGACAAACAGGAATTGCATAAGATACTGTAAATGGGGATGCTTCAAGTGTAACTCGGGGCTACAGTTCATTTTCAGAAATGGAAAGCCATTGAAAAGACTTTGAGGTAAAAAGTATAGAATCATAGACTCCTCAATGTTAGAAGAGACCTTCAAGATCAAGTCCAACTGTCAGTCCTGTCACCCCTAAACCAGTGGAGGCAGATGCAGAAGATTTATTGAAGACTGAAATCTATATGCAAAGTCTGCATGCTGTACTAGTAAAAGCTGTTTAATTAGTGGAGTTTAATCTGGCCTGACTGCCATTTCCCACCTTCCTCAGTGTAGTGCAATCCTTTGCAAGCAGCAGTGGTACAGCGCTGCCGAGTTTCTTACTCAGCAGTTATTCTTGCTGGGCCAGAAATGAAGCTGATGCAAGGTGTCATAGCACCTTCCAGCAGAAAGGATGAGCTAGGTTTTCACTGCCTCACATCAGCTGGGGTTTGTCTGTGATGCAGAGCCAGTGACAGTTGTGCACCACCTTGTCTAAAAATCAGTTTTTGCTGTTTTTTATTTCTCTAACCATTTAAAGTCAGTAGAGCTGTACAAAAGAGGAGGATCACAGAATCCTCTCAGCTCTGTTAGAAAATTACTGCTGGTATCACAATCAAGTAGGCAAGATTTTCACCAGTCATTTCATAGATGTCATGGTGGGCAAAATTTTGCCTATGAGACCTGCTGTGTATGCAAGATGTAAATGCATCTATGGTGCATGGTATATAAGAATTATTTCCTTAAAGTTTTGGGAACAATTATCTGATAGTTCTTTATAACTATATGGTTGGGGGGGAGTTAAGTGTTTTAATGTTTCAAATAGGTTATAAAACTTTGTAGTTATGACTTATGTCTACTTGCATTACCAGACAGGCACACATGTGTGCCATTACACACATGCACAGGCTAGCATGTCCTTGTGAAACTGGATCAGAATCCCTGGTAAATGCTAGTAGTGTGTTAAACATTAGATCTCCTGGGATTTTCCTTCTTCAAGTTATATGCTATGTTTTGGATTTGTCTCTGGTGTATCCCAGTATCTGTTTGGGTTACATCAGGGAATAAATGGATACAGTTCCTTTGTGTACTGTCTAAGTGGGCTTCCCTTACTGGAAATTGAAAAGCCTCATTCAAGTTGGATAAATACCTAAATGCCTGTGCAGATTGTCCAGGTTCCTCAGCTGGCAAGAAAGAGAATGTTTTTTTTGGAAGCCAATATTCCAAAATTGGTGTCCAGTTACTTAATCTCTTCCAGAAGTCAAAACATTGCAAAATTATTTAGTACAATTTTACATTAATATATTGTAATGAAAAAGAAAAAGAAACTCTCTGAGGATATTTAATTAGGTGCCATTAATATTTTACTGAAGCTGGATCAATGCTGTGATTTGCCTTTATGGAAGACAGTTGTGTGATATGTGTTCAGTGAGCTATTAGCAAAGAAGCATTGGAAGAGGATGTCTTTTAGGACTGAAAGTCAATTCTGGATGCTTTTTCAATTCAGGTGGGTTAGTTTCCTTCATACCAACATCCTGGAATTTGAAAGGAGCTGTCAATGGGCTGGGTTTGCTTTTCATAAAAAACAAACAGAAGACAAAAATCCAGCCAGTGTTACAGAATATACATACACACATACATACATACATGTACATACATACATATATATAGATATATAGATATATAGGTATATACACATTTGCTGATCCTAGGCTAAGGAAGAGAAAGGGATATTTTTGAAATTCATTTTCCCAGAATTTAGGGGAGAACCCCTTTTTTTGTTCTCAGAGATACAAGAGGCCTGATGGAAGAGTGCCGACCATGAACTTAATGTTCAGCTGCAGTTTAACTCTGGGAGTGCCTTTCTTCCTTCTCTGGATATTTTGGTATAGGATAAATGGATGACAGTTTGTTGATGGATCTGTAGGAGAGATTGGTTGTGACAAACATCTCTGTTTGCTTTGGGATACTGTAGAATGGCCTACTCTCCTTGGCAAAGGCCAGGTTATCAGGACAACCCACTACCCTTCAGCTCTAAGGGAGGTCAGGAGTTGGCTGATGGTTCCTCAGGCCTTTGTTTGTTGCTCTTGAGTGGGTGGGAGTAGCTATCCTTATGTTTGGCAGCTGGGAAGTGATGTTCCTTGAGTGACCCAGTACATTAAAACCTGATATTCTGTGGAAACACAGTATTCCTTGCAGTGCTTCTCTGAATTTTCAGGCTTCTGGCAGGACTGACATCAGGATTTAGGAGACCTGAAAAACTAAAACTCACTTAACATTTGGAAATCATCTGTAGGGCAAAACCAATCTTCATTCATTAATTTTCTTATTGTTGTTGTAGCTATTACTTGCAACAGTAGTTGTTTGCCTTATTACCTGCTGCACTCTACTACTCTTGGAACACTCCCTAAGTGAAATCATGGTTCTGCTGTAGTTGATGACAGTTATCCTTTCATTATACTTGATTTTGTGTGGACCTCCAGATACACTTTGCACTATTGGAGTAACCTTGAGTGCACTACACTAGGGCAGAATACACACGTTACTCCAGGGGTTGCATTCCCTGTGCTTGCTCACAGAGAATCATTAATAATGTGGTATAGTAGGAATGATGTTTCCATTTCATTGAACATGGTGTAAGAGTTACTCAAAGTTTTTCAAATTAAAGACTTTACTTATGTGTGTTTAGAGGAAGAGTATAAGTTTCTGTTCATCATTATTGCTCTGGGACACAATTTTGTGCATTGCATATAACAGGTCTTTTCCATTTGTCCCCCTTCAGTCCTAGAGGGGTGGAGACAGACTTGGGCACAGTTAAGCTGTTGTGATGGGATTCACCTCAGCTGCTTTTACCTACCCCTAGTGTCTGTGCTCCTTTTGTAGTTGAGGAAAAGAAAGATAGGAGTGTTCATCCCAGGCTAATGTAGGTGAAGAGGAATTGCCTAATGGCCAACTGCTTATATGTTTGGGCTTTTTAGAAATTTGAGTAGTGCAAAACAGCACCCAAGCCAGACAAAATAAAGACTAAAGCCTCATTCTGATTAAATCTCATAAGAAAATAAAGTAACTGCCAGGAAGAACTTGTGTTTTCAATGGTTAATTATAACTCCACATGAAAAAACTGTAATTTTTTTTTCCTCATGATTGCATAACAGCAGACATGAGTGTGGTAATTGTGTCTGTGCAGTGTGTATCTCCAGGGTGTGGTGTGCTTTTGCAGAGAGCAGTGTAACACATTCCCTTTATTTTTACCCCCTGTCTTCCTCCTTCTTGGTTTGATGGACCTAGAAATTACAGAAACCCCCTTCCTCTTCCAAGAGAAGAGAGAACAAGGCAAGAGTAGATTGGTGTGAAAGTGGTAGATTGATGTGAAAAAAACAGGACAAAAATTCTTTTAATAGCTCTTGTAGAATATGTCTCAGAAACTGTACAACAGTGAGAGAAATTAAATGGGGAAGGAAATTATATTTATACCTACAATTAGAAGTTTTAAGCAGCATGTTGCAGTTTGTAGCACAGTGGGAAAGCACTGCAGGGACAACAACATCTTGTTGCTCCAGTGAGGAGGAACTCCATGATTGCTGGAGAGGTTTTGTAAAAAACATTTTATGTTCTCAGAAGAAGCTTCAAAGGCGAGGTATGTGAAAAAGAATGAAAACAAAAGCTCTATTTTTGTAATATTGTTTCTCTCTGGGTTGTAGTTTAGTGCTTTGGTGTGAGACACTAACTGACAACATGTAACAAATATAACAGATAAGGCCTTGGGACCCTGCTGAACAGCTAGCTTGACTTGTCCAGGATGCCTTCTGTCTCCATGCAATGCTGCTCTTATGTAGCTAGAGACACTGGGGCCAGATGAGAAACCATGATCCTGTGCGTTTTCCTGCTGCATGCTGACCTGTATTTCTGGTCTTTGCAATGCTATTTTTTGTTTGCAACAAGAAGTAGGTAGAACTTGATGTCTGTTCAAAGGAGAAGCTGTCTGGTAGCTGTGGATAGTTATGGGACAGTGGATTCTCGTATTTACAATTATTAACTGACTTTTCCTGGGTAATTGCTGGATATAGGTGGAGCTGGTAGGGGGAGCAGCGCAGCCCTGCAGATACTGAGAACCCAGGGAATGAGGCAGGAATCATCTAAAACAAAGCAAAACCTTTTATAAATTTTATAACAGTAGGAGAGACTTGACTTCAAGGCTGAACTCTGTTGTTTGAATTGCAGCTCCTTTGAAAAAGAGATGTCCCTATGTGATTCCTACCTCATCTCCAAGTCTCTGGTGAGAGGCTCTCTTAGCCCTGTGTGTTCGTTTCTCTTCTCTGTGTTGCCTCTTCATAGATCAGGCCAGAAAACACAGAACCTTGGTTTTTACTATTTTTTGACTCATCTGCTCTGTGACAGGAGCCATCAGTGCTGTGCTTCAAATACTGATGTGAAGGAAAAAAACTCCTGGCTTTTCTTTACATATGTTGTAGAAGTGTTCAAAGGAAGGTGGCTTCACTCCTCCACTTAAACAGGCTCTTCTTTCACACTGCATTTCTTAGCAACTCCTCTGCTACTAGAGATACGAGGGTTGGGTGATGGAGCCAAATACCTTATGGCAGTGACCAAAGCAGTTTCTGTCAGGTGTCAGTGTATGTCAGTCATATGCATTTTGTGGCAATATGACAGTTTCCTAAAGTCCTTTTATAGCAGCTGATCTTCCTGAAATGAGTTGAGGTCGTTGGCAAGTGTCATTTGTCAGATTGAAGAGCTAAAAATGAAGCCTATTTCTTAACAGTGGTTGTCACCAGCTTCTGTGCAATAAATGAACTTGTTATACAAGCTCCAAAAACACTCACATTTTTACTGCAGCAACACCTTTTCATAATGTAGGAAAGTAGTCAAGTGCATAGATTATTTTGCAAAGCTGTCTATCTCATGAAAACCTTAACAGGTTATAAGTACTATTTCTAGCCTTAGGTTTTTAAAAAAGACAGGATGCTATGAAACCTAAAATGTACTTTAAGCTTTAAACATGGAAGTAACCTTATATGGGTGTTTGGTCATATGACTCTAAAATCCAAAAGACTTCTTTGAGCTGGCCAAACTGACACTATAAAGCATTATTTTACAGGTTCTTTTCCAAAATATGTTGTATAGTTAGTACAATACAAAAGACTATTTACTGCAAAACTGAGAAGCAACTCTTAAGAAATCTCTTTTTAATTTTTTGTTTGTTTGTTTGTTTTTTAATTCTAGGTAGCTCAGTTGTCTTGGCTTGAAAAGAAAGTAGCTGCTGCTCTCTTTGGGACTCCACCAACTTCAACAGTAGAAGAAGCATTGCAGAATTTCCTTAAGGTAAGTCCTAGCCAAGGGTTTTCCTGTGTTGCTGTTTGCCAGCTGTTATATGTGAGTACTGTCAGGATGTCTGTTCAACAGACTGTTCAGTAGCTATAAATTCAGGGCTTTTCTAAACACGACTGAGCTTTCTATTAAAATATTTTTTTCTTTTCATTTTTAAAATTAGTTTGGACATGAGTGGTTAGCACCTTTCTTTTCTTTATTTATTTTCAGGAAATACTCCAATTAATTGCATGGTTAATAGTTATTGAATTGAATGTGATATAAATATAGATTAGTTACATATGCTGCTGAAACAGATGAACCATTGTGATAGTGATAATTGCTGATTTGCCTGTTTCTGCAAGAGAGTTGACATAGGCAAGGAAAACTTTGACATTGTGATGCTTCTCTTTTTTCTGATCTGAAACTATTTTCCATTGAATTTCAGTAGAAGCTTTTCTTATTTGTGGAGATGAAATTACTTTTGTAGTGAAGTAGAGAAGAAAGCTGTCATATAGGTCCATATTCCTGGGCATTCTATTTGAACACAAGAAAACACCACATGAATAAAATAAATCTATCTTTTATTGCTTTCTATATGAATAATTTCTACTTCTGGAGCTCAAAAGCTTACAAATTTTTCACAAGACTAGATTCAAATCATAAACTTCTATCATTACAATTGCTATCAAAGTTTTTCAAATAAATTGGACAGGCATCTTTTCCTCACTGTAAAAAGTGCTTCTTTTCTGTGTTCTTAGTCTATTTAAAGATTTAATGATCTCCTGAATTTTGGACAGTACAATACATTACCATCTTCCCAGTTTAAGAGATTTTATCTTGAAGGTCAAATTCCAAAAGTGGTAGAAATAATTTGAAACATTCACTTTAGCTTCAGGGCTTTTTGTGGTGGGCTGCAGAGTGACTGTGGTTTTAAGTCATCTTCAGCAACAAAAATCAAATTACTTTCTAAAAGACAACTGTTTAGGTTTCTTTTTCAGTTGTTTGATTCTACACAGTTGTGGTAAAGCAGCATTGTTTTGGTCCAAAGGTTACAGCTACTATAGATTTCACTGATGTAATTTTTCCCTCCCAATAGCTGTTCTTTGATTCAAAGCTGCTTCTTTGTTCGTAGATCATTAGTAAGAGTTTTACTCATCTTGTAAGCTTCTGTAGCCTTGATTTGTTAAAAAAAACCCAAGACATTATTAAACTTTTTAAATTACCTGAACTTTTCAGAAGATGATAATTTGAAAAGAAAGGTGAACCCGAAGCTAGAAGATAAGAGACTGTGGAAGAGAAATAATTGTAAAATTGATAAACACAGTTCTTTACTCATTACTCAAAGTGTGAATGGTTGGTTGCTTTCTTATTTATTTGATGAGGAAATAAATGTTAATAATCTATAGACAGTGGTATCTTTAAGCCTTTCCTGTAAGTGAAAGAATCCAGTAGATCTTGTACAGAATGACCATAGATCTTCACAGAGTGCTTAGGGACAGAGGAGAGCAAGCAGTACAGAACATTTTCTGTGTTCACTGTCAGCATCTCATGTGACTGCTTTAGGGTTTTTGTGGTTTTTTTGTTTTCTTGATTTTTTTTTTGAAATGCTACTAAACAGATTGCATTACACAGAGTAGGGATGATTCAGTCTGATGTTTGAGGAAATGTAGTGCATTACTTAGAATGCTATGCAGATCACATAAATCTCATCATGCAAGTTTTATGTCTATTTTCTTTCCTGTTTTTTATTATTTAGGCAGAAGAAATGCATCCAGGATATTCCAAATGCAATTATGTGTATTTGGCAAAGGTAACCAAGTTCTTTTAAAAATAATGATTTGTAGACTCTGGTGTTCTTACAGTGGTCTGATTGGAAACAAAATGTTTTTTCTTTTCAGTGCTATAAAGATCTTGGCCAGAAAACCAATGCACTGAAGTGCTGTGATTCTGCACTGTCAATTCTCTCAGTTACTAATGAGGTGGGTATTGAGAGTGATAACTTGTTCCCTTGTGCCTGCTCTCTTGTCTTTGGCATCCATTATTGCACTGCCGGTAACAACATAATGTTTCAGTTTTTCCTCTCAGCACAGAACATTCCTTTTCCCTCCACTTTAGGTTGGCTCATAACAGTTGTCTGTATCAACAGCTTTAAAAAAAATCTTTGTTTGGGGAACTGTCAGGGACTCGTTTGTATCAGAAATTGAATTGTACTCTTTGTAATTCAACCCACTTCATTAGATCATCTTGAGCAGAAGCAGTTGAGTGTGTCACTCTAGCTGTGCTGAAATTTTGCCCCAGACCTATGTTTTCCTCAGTTGAAAGCACTCTGGATTTTTGTCCTACAGTCTCTGTCTCTGCTCCTGAAAGCCTCTGGTTTGTGATTCTTGTCAAGGGCAGTATGTTAACTACAGCAGAGACAGATGAGTTATTAAGATTGGCTTTGTCTTCAACCACAAGGCAGTTAAGGAGGCACAGTTCTTCAAGTCACATCTGCTGGCCTAGAGTTTGTTCTAAGAGGTAACAAGATTCCTCTTGAGTCCCATTACAGTATTTTAGGCCCATTAGAGCATTTTTGTACATTTGGTATATTTTGGTACATTTTTGGACACAAAATTTCTACAAATATTTTGGAGATTTTAAGTTGTTTAATTTCTCAAATATAAACCAAGTCATGGCAAGAAGGTGCACTCTGTCTGATCTCGTGTAAAAGCAAGTTCCATAACTGACCTATGACTGGAAACATCTTACCATCCTAGAGCATGACGAGTTCAAACCTGAGCTTTTTCAGCCTAAGGGACCCCCTCTGAGCACAGCAGATGTGGTATGGAGAAAGGGAGGTGATTCCTGAGAAGAATTGGCCCCATCCCATTTAATTCTTTGAAGTTAAGGGAAAAGACCATTAAACAACTCTTTAACTTGATTGACAATAAATGCTGTGTGTGGAGCACTAACATGTTTATGTCAAGTGTTCCTGCTGGGAAGAGAGACCCCTGCATGCCTCACCAGCCGCTGCTCCTGGGTGGCCTAATTTTTGGCCCCAGTTATAGTATGTACCAATCATAAATTAAGTAATCATTGCTTAAGTTCAGTGTTTCTTTAAATATGTATTGATACTGATATAACATTGACAATGATTTAATTCTCTCTATTCTTACCTCACTGTTAAAATATACCTTCAGCTTGCCTATTACATAGGAAAGGCTGCTATAAATTATCTCTTTAATATCCCATCACATTTGTGAAGTATCAGCAGACCTGAGAAAGAGAAGGAACCCTGAGGAGAAAGCAGGAATTCAAAAGGAGTCTTAGGGATAGGTGTATGTATTCTGGCAAGTAGGGTGGTGATGAGAACAAGAATTACACTGATTTGTGTCAAATGGTGAGTGTCAAATGGGCCCCAAAAATCTTTTGTCCATCTGAAGAGGAAAAGATGATTTGACCTCTCCTGTTTTGACGAAGTCTATAGATATTACAGATTTGTGTCCTTTGTCTTGTTTATTTGTGATGTGTTTTGAGTTAGATTTAGAAAAAAAGAGTCCAGAAGAATATGGCATTAGGGCAGTAGTATGTAATTCAATTTAAAAAAAAAACAACCAAGCACTCAGCACAGGGTAAAAAAAACCAAGTGCACGCTGAAAGAAATTACTGTGAAATGGAGATCTGGAACATGAACTCTGCTGTGTCTGACTGTTACCTCAAATCCCATCTGAATTTGAATATTACATGTTGTTTTGGTTATTGTGTTACAGAAAGACTGTTACTGATTTTTGGGAAAATGTGTTGGAAGTGAAGTGGTTCAGGGCTTGGAGCTGTATGTAGGAATAACATTTAGTGAGATTAGTTTAAGAGAGGAAAGAGACTGTAATAAGACTGAAGAGGCATTGGGGAGAGAGTAATAAACAGATGCTAATATGCACTTTATTAGTGCCTGAATTGACTGCAGCCCTGTAGAAGATGGGATTCGTGGTCTAAAAAAAAAGCACAGGTCAGCAGCAGTGTGAGGATTTGTTTCCATTTGCCACAGCTCAGGATCTCAAGGTTGTCAGCAGCGTGGTGTTCTGTCACAGTCATGTGAAACCCATCATTCCCAAGTGTAATCATAGTTTCTCATATGAGTTTTCTCTTTCTTCAAGCAGGGGAACTCCTTTATTGTTTTTAAATGTTGGCTTCTAGTGAGAGACATGTATTTGTATAAAGGCATAAAATCAGGAGCAGGCTGACAGATGAAGTTACTGGAAAGGTGCCACATTGAGGAAATGTATAGTATTACATGATAAAAATCATCCTGCAGAAAAAATTATCATAGGCACTGTTTTACTTTTTATTGCTTCTGAGCATCCACAGTTTCCAGTGATTTCTGGGAACCAGAGGTGCTTGACATCAGTAAAGTAGCCCATAGCTCATTTTAATCCTCAGGTCAAATTCTCAGCTGCTGTAACTCAGGACACTTCTTTCACACTTTTTCTAGGATTCATTTCATATAACATTTTGAGTTAAGTGATATTATTTTTGTCTTGAATGTTATGTCACATCCAAATATCCCTTCTGTGCATCTGTTCTGCCATTTACAGAGTTTGTTTTAATTCAAGGGGTAAAGGGGCTTCCAAAGATAGCTTATTCTTGTTAAAGGAAAAAAAAATCAGATGGCCTGTTTCAAACTTTAAAACCTATTCTGAACCTCAAAAAAAGGATACACAGAAATTATAAAAAAAGAAACAATTTCTGATTGAATGAGTCCTGTAAATTAAGAGTTACAGGAGGATTTTTAAAAATAGGACAGTTTTTTAAAATAGTTTGACACATTTTTAACTTATCAGTCTATGCATTTTTTTTTAAAGGAAATATGTGAGATTTGGTATAAATTACATCTGGAAAAACAAGGCAGATATTACAGTGCAACTTTAAAGACTTTTTTCTATCCTCTCTAAACAAAAAACCTCCAATGAATCATGCAGTCCTTCCTTGGCCATAAATAGTGTAGAATGGTACTTCACTGCTGGGGGTGCATGGGACATCAAATTGTCCAGTTTTTCTCTGGTTGCTACCCAGGTGGATAACCTCAGGGTCCTGGGAAATATTTGCCCCTTCAGCAAAAGAGATCCCAGTGTTCAGGGCTGCTGTGAGTTATTGTTAAGTGCTTAACAGCTGCTCTGTTCATCTAGAGGATGTTGCATTACCCTTACTGAGACTCATTACTTTGTAGTGTGCTCAAAGCCTTGCTGAGTGTGACTGTGTCAAGGGCACTTGAAGCCAGATGTGGTGGACTGTTGTGGTGGAACAAAATTACTTTTCTAAATTTCAAGAGAAAAATGTAATTTAATTTTGAAATCATGAGTGTCTGTCTCGCATACAGAAAGACAGAACAGGTAGGTGTGTGTGTGTGTGTGTGTGTGTGGTTGAATACATGGTTCTTTGCTTGTAAGGGCAATAAGACCCTAATTTCTTGTTTTTAATAAAGATTGTTGGAAGTTTTCAAGTCTGGAACTCGTAGAATTTCAAGTCTCAATGTAGGATTATAAAGTATAATCGTCACTGAATTGTTTTTTCTTCTGTCTGGAGACAAGCATGAGCATGACAATGAACTCTGTGCTTGTAGGACCAATAAGCTCACCACAAAAGGAGTTAACAGCCTAGCAGAGAAAGAGATTAAAATTTCAAGGTTCTAGTCTCTATTACATTAAAAAAAATTAATCTGAAAAGCAGCAGTAGCATTACAAAAAGTGTAGTCTTTGGAGAAATGAAAACAGGAAAGCAAAAAAAATGCAAAGGAAATTTATTTGCCCTGGGTTGCTGAAAGTCTTACTTAAAATGTAGATAAAAACTTCCCTAAAGGTAAGAAAGTGTTTTACAAAATTATTGGTGATTTTGTGCACTCCATCCTTCCCAGCAATTAGAAATTATGGCAATTCAGAGTTGAAATTAACAAAGAAGGGAGATTTAGATCTTACAGAAATTCATTATTATGACATTCACTTCTTACAGGTGTAGAATGGTAGGAAGCAGAGACTTGTTAAAAACTCTGCCTTCAGCCTCAGTGACATCTGAAACTCGTGTGGAGGAGGTGATAAATGTAATAATAGGCAGCAACAATGGCTGGATTTTTACACAAGAATGCAGCTGCTGAGGGGAACTCATGCTCATACAGTTTTCTTACATGTTTTTGTACAACACCATAATTGATTTCCCTGGCTATTAATTTAATTTTTAATATTGTCTATAAGGACAAAAGTGGGAATTGCAGAGGGATGGAAGAGAGGTCAGAGTATAAATTTCAGCACCCATCAGCTGTTCCATTCCAACAGACCATTTGTCTATCTGGATTTTCAAGTTTTTCCAAGAAATAACCACTCCAGCAGCCATGGATTGGTCATAGGAGCAGACCTTGTTGTGATATTTCCAACAGATCTTATTTGAAGCTGCTATTGTAATTTGTCATTCTAAGTAGATTTTGAGGAGAAAAAAGTAATTGCTTTTAAAGTGAAGGTTACAAATTATGACTTGTTTTTGAAAAAAACACCAATTGAAACTGAGTAATTTGGGCTAACCTTATAAAAGTGTTTTTGTTTTCTCATCAACCAGAATATTTTCTTTTCACATCTTCAATACAAAATGTCATGTTTTTCAGAGAGTATTTGTTGCTTTAGATTTTTTGCACATTTGTCCTCCAAATGGCCAACAAAAATCAATGATGTTTCAATTCAGAAATAAGGGAAGTGTTCAGATTTGTGTTAATTTTGAATTCTAGGCTATTGTTTTCCTGCTAGTACTATTTGTGGAGTTGAACAACAATTTCCTAATAGCCAGCACCAACTCAAAGCTAAAACATTTTTTGAGTATGCTTAAAAAAACTATTCCTTAATTAGTGGTTTTGTATACAATAAATGTGAGTGCTTCAAGCTCAGGGAATACATTTTGTAAAAACTCATTATAAAGAAATCAAATTTCAAACTAAAATTCTAGGGGAAAGTGAGACATTTGTTAAAGAGTTGCTAAAATAATTTGAGACTGCCAATATTTTACATTATTTTGCACTTCAAAGAATAGTCTATTTTTCTCTAACTTAGTGATCAGTTTTCTATATGCATGTTTTTGAAATCCTTGAAAAAAGGTTTGTTTGCATTGTGTACTTATTTCTTCTCTCCTTCTGAAAATTATTCTGAAAAGTGATGAAGATATTGTGGTGTCACAGTTTCATGCATAAGGATGAAGTTTATCCTGATAAATATCAAGATTATTATATTTATGATGAAACTGACTATCACACAGTATTTGTTTCAACATCCTATCAAAGCTAACACAGTTAGCACAGTTCTTAGTCCAGCAAGAGTGGTCAGCAGCCAGTTCCCCAAAGTATGGAGTATGTCTCTGTCTCCTCCGTGTAGTGTGTCTCCATTGGCATTCTGATAATGCAGGGGCAGAGTGGAAGAAGTATTCACAGAGGTGGTGGTACAATCCAGGATTACAAAATCAATTGGCAAAAACCCGTTTTGAATTTTTGTAGAGTAGCTGGGCCAAGTCAAACTCCTGGGGTTTTGAAATATGTTGTCTTGGAGGCAATATACAGGGTGAAGGAAAGCCTTGACAGGCACCTTTCTGAGAGGGCTGTAACTGGGTGTGATTGTGTTCAGGCTGTTTCAGCAAGGGCTGTGCAGAAAGAAAATCTGTATGTCCCATCATGGGAGAGACAGCAGCTGGACACAAAGAGGAGAATGTCTTTAACACCACAAGCTCCACATTGTATACAGTAGTAAAAGAAAACCAGATCATAGGTGAAATTTAGTCTTCCAAGTCAGGAAAGGACTAGCCAATTAAAATTTTACATGACTACTAACTATTCTGAATTGTATTCTGCTGTTTTGTAATTTTTCAACAGTAGTCCTTGAACAAGGTGAACTGTTTATTTGTATTCTTCTGTGTGAGAAAGGGTATTTTCCCTCTACTTGAAGTAATATCCAAAAATCTGTAATTATTTGCTGCATATTTTAAAGCTGTGTTTGCCTTGATCCTAAAAGCCTTGTGAAGTTACAGTTAATCCCCAGAGAAGATAGTGATAATATGAAAGAACACAGAATGCAGCAGCTTGTGACGTACAGCAGTCATGTAGAAGGTGGCACGTGGATGATTGCATTGGTGTGTTGCAATATCAAAGGAGAAAACTCATGGTATTATACAATTGTTAGTGCACACTACAGTCACACCATCTGTGAGGGTCTGTCAGGAAACCAAGAAGGGATAGGATAGCATTTAGCTTTGCATGATTTATACTGTCCACAAGAGCTATTGCTCTCTAACAGCCCTTGTGCATTCTTGGGAGTCTCTTCTGCTACAGTCCAGGATTTCTCCTGGAGCTGGGAGGGAACGATACAGCTGTACCCAAAAGCAGGGGTGTCTCTCAGCACCTCATTGCTGTTACTGCGTATCAGAGTACAGCTTTGGACCACCCTTGCAGCCCAGCTTATTTAATGTACCATGCTGCCCTGCTGACTTCAGTGAAACCCTACAGGATGCATGTCAGCTTGGGATTTGGCAGTGGTTGCACACAATTATGTTTTCGTTGGCTGGTGTAACCATTTTAATTGTGGTCATGGGGTTGTATCATTCTCTGTTGACAGTTGAGACTTTGTCAACAAGTGCACACATGTGCAGTGCCTGGGTTGAGTGTATTAGCACATAAGGAAATAATTAGCAGAGATGGAAGGTAAAATCATTATCTTTCTGTCTTGGCTTTAATTGCCATTTAATTTTTACATGCACATTTATATGTGTAACTCTCCATGTATATGTATCAGTAATTTATTTTTTTTTTTTCAGTAAAAATGAATTGTCAAAATATGGACTACTTCCAGATAAGCCAACATTCCCTTTTTCCCACCAGCTCTCTTTTCCTTCTTGCTCTTGTTTTCAACTCCCTCTCTCCCCTTGTTCAGTCCCTGGCCTCCCAGGTCTTTTTTTCTTGTGCATATCCCCTGTGAATGATGAAACATAAAAGTAAAGCAACAAAATAGGAATGAGGCAAAATACAGTCCCTGACCCTGTAATTTGAAGACATTTTGTGTAGCAGTTTGCAGAACATTTTGAACTCATATTCAACTCTGAAAATGATATAAGGAGTGTTTAATAAATGTAAGCCTTGACAGTAGAAAGATGAGGTTGAAAATGGCTGTGTATTCAGTCAGTGCTGAACTAAGCCTCAGGGTGAACAAATGGGACTGACACAAGTATATTGCATTCCTCCTACAGCTTGCACATCTTCTTCTGCTTGCCACACTCTAAAAAGAAACCCTGCTGTCTGGGGGGAAAAAAAAGGAAAAAAATAGCTGACCTTACTGTTCATTTTCAGAAAGCCACAAACCCAGAAATCAATAAGGAAAAGAGTTGGCCCAAGACAGGATTTATGGCTTTTTATTTCCATTAGCAACCAAGCTGTGGGCAATAATGAAGTTTTCACCCTTAAAACCAGAAACTAGTACACTGAACAGAGTTGTGGCTTCTCTCTCCTTTTAGCATGACACACCTCTTGGTCTGGAAGGACTCTCTCCAAAGGTGACACAATAGTTCCCTTCACTGACCATTCTCAGCTTTGTTTTTAATGCCATTACTGATTTTTTTCAATGCTTTTGCCCTACAAGTTCAAATTGACTGGAAGCTGCTGGCTCAATTAATGCAACCCGTTAAGCAGTTTGCACAATAACTCCTGCTTTAACTGATGTAGTCCTGTTTAGAACTGGCAAACCAGAGGTAGAATGCTTTGCACGTTTGCAGTTTCTTCTCCAGACAGTTCTTAGAACAATCTTGGGTTTTGTTCCATTCTTTTTCCTAAGCCCAGAGGAAGATTCAGGGAAGATTGCCCAATGTTTTCTGGACCTTTGCAACTTGTAAAGCTCATTGCCCAATATAATCCTTTACTTCTAAAGAGACAATTATCTAAAGTCGTTTGGAGATATATTTTTTAAAATGCTGTATCCTGCAAAATGAGTAGAAATGCTGAACACTATTTGGATATGAGAAAACCTGCACCTTTATAATTTTCAACTTAGAAAAATGTCATAAGAGTGTAACCAGATACAATTAAGCTTTTCCATTTTATATTAGCATGGGACAATATCTGGCTTTTTACTTTTTTATTTAATAGAGTTTAGAATCATTTTCATAAGTTGACCACAGTCAGTACAGAAAAGAGTGTATTTTCCCTGAATTAAGGGAAAATTTTGAGGTTTTCAGTTTTTGGTGAAAGCAATGGCATGGTGCTCCAGACAGCCTGTAGTGACGTGGAGTTTAAGGGGTGCTCAGTGCTGTATGACATTTCCTTCTGTTAGAGTATTTTGGCAAGAGCTTACAGGCTTTGCAGTGTGTGCCTTTAAAGGCCTCTGATAAATGATTAGGCAGATAGTTTAGCCTATTGTTGCCAGTAGGAGTAAGGCAGTAACTCCAAGAGAAGTGTTCAGCTAATGTATTAATGCCTTAATCCAGACCAATAATATGATGTAGTTTGACATGTCTGGCATATGGTTTCTATCATCTCAATATTCTTCTCTGTTCCTCCATGACATTATAGACAACTAACCAAAATAAAGAGAAGCAGGAATTTCTTCACCCATGAAATATATTCTAAAATGTTCTGTATTTTGTTCCAGCTCTTTGGTTGATTGAGTAATGAAGTGATCCTGAAATGTAGTGATTACTTCACTGACTGTCTAGAGTATTTTCCTTGAGAATATACCATGGCAATATCATTACTGGACCCTGTCATTAGAAATACTTACACAAAAGCTGTGATGTGCAGGCACTTTTCACTTGCACTGTTAAATATCCATGGATGCATGTGTTGGGTGTTTGGACCCTTATGAGCCTTCAGGCACGAGGTGGTGACATTTTAGAAATGTGGTTTTAAACCAAGGTGCATTTTGCAAGCTACAGGTTTTGCAGCAGCAACTAAAGGAAGCAGATTATATCCAGGGGACACTTAAAAATAAGTAGAATAATGGAGTTTTTGTACTGTGGTTACATGCTTATATGCATGTGCCCCTTTCCAAGGAGATTATACATGGAATAGCCAAAACATATGGCACTGGGTACTTGTGAGACAGTCTTAGGCCTGGCTTAGGTTTGAAGCCCCATACAAGCTGTGCACTTAAAACATTGGCCTAAAAGGAGCCTTTTCCTGCTGCCCTAGGAGTACAATGTAGTGTTGGCTCTGAGCACAGCAGGTCACCTGCCTCTTGCTCCCACATTGGCCCCACTCTGCCATGAGCCCAGTAGCACAGGGAGAGCTCAGTCTGGAAGATTCTGAGGGTGCAGTCAGCCCATGGTGGCTATCACAGGTAGGTATGGCTGTATGCTCTGAAACCACCATCTAACCTATGTCATTAATTACATTTCCCAATGTTTTCTTCTTAGTTGCATAATAAATCATTAGCAAATATCACAGAACATCTTTAGAGAAACTGCATGTGGTCAGGATGCAAGATTGCATCAGGTATAAGGCAAGGCAATACTTTATGCAAAGTACATCAATAAAAATTATATCCCAAGCTGAAGGGCTTACTGGTCTGCTGAGAAGGCTATTTGTGGGCTAACATTTTAAGTGCTTTAACAGAGCTGTAAAGGGAGGGCCGCCATCTGGCTCTTGTTTTCACTTCAAACTTTATTTTTGTATTCACTGATAAATTAACTTACTATCCAGTCTTTACATTTTGTGGCTGTTGCAGTTGTGTGTTATGTCTGTTGTTAGTAAAGAAATGTGGATAGGCACGTATTAGGCAAATGAAGGGATTTATCCTCTCTAAATTGATGCATGGTTGTCTGTTTCTTTCAGGATAAAGAGGCCCAGAAAGACTTAGAGGCTTTACTTCTTACACTGAAGCTCTGATACTACGTACTTTTAACTCTTCATGCTGTAATAAAATTGTAAAACTAAAATGAGACTGGAAACTGCGGGTAAATTTCAGCTAAGTCAATGAAAAAACAGTCATTGATTTTGGTTGGCTTGGATCATGGCCTTTGAGTGTCCGGAGATTATGGTATTAAAATAATACATTCATTATTGATTATTTATAAACTTGTACTGAAGTTTAATTTTAAATTTCTGACACTGTGAGTCTGATTCTCTGAACATGAAGTCCACTGCTGGCAATGGACATACTGGGGGTTTGAATGCAAAAGGAATAAATCTCACTCTTTGAAAGATGAATCAATTAGTCCTTGATGCCAGCGTAGAACTACGTGTAGCATAAACAAACAAAAAAAATGTTTCTATAGTAAATTATATTTATATCAACTAATTTGCACAGATGTGTACAGAAAAAAATCATGAATATTTATGTTTACACATTTCTCTACTCTTAAAAAAATTACAGTCTTGTTGAAGTTAAACAAAGCTGTTGCCGCAACAAAGCTCTTTTTACTTTAAACCTATTGTTGGTTTTACAAAGAAATGTGAACATTTTATAAATTAAATATTATAAATTATTTGTAACATCAAGTACAATATTAAAGATAAGACAAATTAAATAAAGTGGTTTAGATTAATCTATTATAGCTGTGATATTTAATGGATTTGTATCAGGACCTCCATCAAGTTTGTGAAGGCTGGCTCTCTGTCTTTGAAGAGTTGCCTAATGTGGTTTCATCAGAGTGTCTTTGAAGAACCTAGTCCAGCATGTGTCCATCACTAATCTTTTATATCATCTATATAACATGACCTGTACATAAAAATAGACTGCTAAAGACCTACTACTTCTGAGTGTGTTGGACAGCACTGTTTTCAATAAAATGTAGCAGATAGGGAAAGAATTTCCATTCACCAGTGGAGTGATGCAGAATACACCAGTCTGTAGAAGAAGAGAGGCCAGTTATGATTGGCTTTTAATTCAGGATCTTAATCTAGATGGAGGGTATTAAAATAAATGCCTACTTGAAGAAGTAGGCATTTATTTTAAAGAAATATGCTTTTTTTTTTGAATGTTCATCCTGTGTAAGAAATCGTTTCTATATGTCTTTCTCAATTCAAGAGTTCTTTTTTTTTTAATACATAATCTCAGAGAAAAGGGAAAATGAAAGATTAATCCTAACAAAGTGTTGTGATTCACACAGAGTGATTGGCTTGTGAATGGGGAAGCTGGAAAGGTGACACATCATGATTTTGGTAAGGGGCTGTTGGTAAAGTCTGCTTTTGATGTTTTCATAGCCAATGCAGGAAGCATAGTTTAAAATAATCTACAAGAGTGATTTGTACATAGGGTTGTTGTTAACAATTCACTGTCACCTAAGAAGATGTAATAAGGAGGCTTTTCCTGAAATCAATTTTATGCTAATTTATATCCTTTATAAAATAAATTGGATTATGCAATAGATACTTCATTTTAATTATTGCTGATAAAAGCTGAAAGTGTATTGGAGAAATAGATTAGAACAAGAAGTTACTTACATTAATTACTGAAATTACATGACATAAGTAGGATTTACTTCATTAAGGGCAAATATAAAGTCTTGAGTTGAAGTAATTAACAGAAAGAGATTGGAGGAGACCAAGCTAGTTGTAATTCTATGGAAAAGGACATGCAGATTCCAGTGAGTGGCAAGTTAATCACGGGTCAATAATGTTATGTTTTTGTGAAAAAACAAATTTCATACTAGACTGAATAAATAAACATTCCCCATTAAATTCACATGAAATAACCTTTTATTCTAATTAGGCCTAATAAGTTCTAATGAGGTCTGAGCTGGTGTATTGTATCTAGTTTCAGGCACCACACTTGAGGGAGGTTGGGGTCTAACTGGAAGGAGTCCAGTGGTAGAGAGAGAGACAAGAATGATGAGGGTGCTAGACAACATTATTTTGCGTGTAAAACATGAAAGAATTTGGTGTGTTTAGTCTGCAGGAGCAAGGACTAGAGGAGTATTCACATTTGTAAAAGGCCACATTGTAAAAGGCTTTTGCAGAGAAGACAGTAAAAAAAGAACCCCAAACCTTGTTCTCCAAATTCCCTATTCATAAGACAAGAGGTAATTGCCTACCTTCAGATTAGGCATTAGGAGAAAATAATCCTGATGGTAACTTTGCAAAGCCCTTCAATACATTTCCTGAGAACATTATAAAATCATTTACTTAAGTTTTAGTATAAAAGTTAAATCAGATTTCATACATTGGCAGTGTTTAAGGCACGTTCATCCTCTGGCAGAGGTTGGGTTACAGGACTTCTTAAGATCCCTCCTGGCCTTGCTGTCCCTGGGGAGTGCACAGCTCCAGCTCTCTACAAGCCATAGGCACTCCTGCAGAAGTCAGTGGGCTGTGTCTGCACACACACTGTATGGCTCAACATTTGGGCCCAGACTATCAAATGAGTTTGCGCTCTGAAGTATTTATCAGCATGTTTCAAGACTTGAATTTAAAGATGTGCATCATGACTGCCATTGACTGTTTATTATAACTGTGGTTTTAATCCACATGGCTACATTTTTAAAGAAATGTATGGTTTTATAAAGGAAATTACTGATCTTTCTTTTAAGCCTTCTGAATTAAGCCCATTATTCAGTTTCAGTTTTTGCTCATTACTAGTGTATGTGTAGAATTACAAATTAACATCTGTGAGAGAAAAGGCTGGGCTTAATTATTTAATTCTAAATTGTCTTTAGTAGTTTGCAGAAATATTAGTCACACAGGTAAGAAATGGCTGAGATATTTTGTGCTTTTAAAGGTTTTTACTAATTAGAATACATGAGCATTCTCAATGTTTTTGTCTCTGATTTGCTAATATGAGAACTTTTAAAATTGAAGCGTGTTCCCTAGATTGTTCCCTAATTGCTCCTTGGAATACAGCTTTTGCATTTAGTTGTAGGCCTAGGCTATCTGTTCTGTGTGTCATACCAGCTGGAGAAAAAGCAAGCATAGCTCCAGAGGCCATATGTTTTCTTTTTTGTTTAAAATATCCACAAGCAGACAGTCACTTCCGTAGTTTTGTCTCTGTGGAGGAGCTAGAGTCTGTGATTCTGCATTAACCCCCTGCGGGTTTGAAGCCATATGGAGCAGAGGGGGCTGCAGGCTTCCTGAAGCCACGGTACCTCCTTCAGTTCCACTGTGGCATCTCTTGTTTGGTCTCTGCTCCAGTACATACACTGTAAATCCTCTGTGGTAATTTGTCTCTTTACACACTTGGAAAAAAGTGAGCTCAGGGGCCTTGACCTGGTACCAGGATTTATGTGCTTCATTAGAGTTAAAACTACTAGTTCTGCTGTCTGTGATGACTGAGGTAAGTTTGATTTCTTGTGGTGAAGCTGAGGCTTCTGTCACCAAATCCTAATCCCTTTGCAGTTGTCCCTCGTAACACACAAAGCATGTGGTACATTTTTATGTAGCAATGGCACAGACACATGGTGGAAATGGTAACAGAGATACACTCTCATACTACTTTGTTTAGAGCACTGTCTTTCCTTCTGCAGAGTCATGGTGAGATAAGCATTTCTGTGTAGTGATATCAATACCCTGACTTCTGCAATCAGTTAGAAAGCTGTCCACCAGTGGTGAGTAGCTGATGATGTAGAAAAGAAAGTGACAAGTCCTATGTCCAGTTCAAGTTAAAAAAATCCTTCCATAAATCCATGCCTACAACTCTGTTATTACAGTAGTTAAAGTCTGAACTAAAAAACCAACCAAACAAAATACCCCCAAAAGCAAAAAAAGCAACACTGAAACCAAAGCAACAACAAAAATGCAATGAAGGAATGGCTACCCAGAGATCCAGCCATGTTGAACCCAAATATAGCAGTTTATTTGGATCTACTTATCTTCAGCCATTACTACCTGATCACATTTTACTTGAAGTACCTAGAACTGTAGGGAGATGTTATGAATTGCAGCAAGATTGGTGGGTTTTCTGGAATTTTCCTGGATGTTCTGGAGGCTAGTCTTGTGTTTTTTTCAGTGGGCACAGTAGTGCATTTCACCTACTCCAAATCAGAAAATCTTGTGGTAATGTGATGAAATTGTATTGCGGCATTCATCCAGTGCAAACTCAAGAAGGAGTGACTCTGAAGGGCCAACATTATTGTTTGGTCTTTTTTCCTTCTGCATATAAGGTTATATTCTTATTTTCCAGCACTTTTCCTTCTTACAGGCTTCCAAGTTCCTTGGAGAAGAAACAAATCAAACTGTCTTGACAATACAAAAAGAAGTAAGCTTTTCTGGCCCTGTCTATGTTTGTGTAACCCATGCATGTGTGATGCTGGGAAATGAAGCACTGGAACTAAGAATGTGAAACATTAATAATTTTTTTTTAGGAAATATTTTACTCATTTAAATAAACAACCAATTATTCTAGAAGTATCTGTGGGATCCAGTGCGAACTCGAATATGAACAATCTGAGCTCTGTGCTGCTGACCCATGATGTGACTGTGGGGTTAAGCTCCTTAGCTACATACCCAAGTTACACACACGCAAACACAGTCTGTCCACTCTTCATATGTTTTGTTTATTAAGATTAATTATGAGCTAGTTTGAATTGCCTACGTGTATAAGCTAAAAATAGAGCCACACAATATTTACAGGGAATATTGTAACCTAAACATGTGTTAAGGATATAGACTTGAATATGGATGTGCTTTTTCCAAACCAATCTGGTTTCTGATTCATGGATAAAGGTAACCAGCATGGCTGTTGAAATTTCAGTCTCCAGAGAAAAATGGTTCTGTTTGCTGTTCAGAAAAATGTGTCAAATCAGCAGAGTAGACTCAGTGATTTACTTGTGTGCTCCTAATCTTGGAAGAGAATAATTTATGAAGGAACGAAAATTCATTTTTAAGGATTACTCTTTTGCAGAATGTTAGGCCAGCTTACATAGTGCCATATAAAATCATATAGAAAGTCTTTAAATGGTAATAAAATACTTTTTTTTTTCAAATTAGAACAGCAGAATATATCTAATGCAACACTTTAAGTGCAGTGAGGGGTTAATATAAAAGTACTGCTAGAATGTGTGTTGATTTTGATGCCACCAGTGTATGGTTATTGGCAGTTTCAAACACAGCAGTGTTCCTGCTGCGTTCACTATGAATCCCTGACCAAGAATTACCAGTGCACACTGGCTCAAAAGACCATAATTGAGTGTGTGATCCCACAGTCATTTGACATCTTCTTTGTTTTAGAAGTGTTTTTCTTAGAAGAGAAGAGTAGTTTCTCGTGATTTGTCCTGTGACATTTGGGTGCCGTTGAGAGCATGGCAACACAGCCTCTGGACATCACTGATTTCCAGGCATTGTGCCAGGATGAGATTTTTAAAAGTACCTGCATGACCTTGTGTGATGTTTGCTTCTGTACATCCTAGTGCTCAATGCAGCTTGTTCAGCGGTGCACTGCTTTCATGCCCTTTCACAGCCCGTCCTACATGTCCTAACAGGTTCATTCAGGAAATGAGAAGGCAGGTATTTTCAGATGCCATGGGAGAAATTCAGAACAATAGATCGAGGGTGAAAAAATACCCAAACTACTGGATCTGGACGTGTATGGTCATTTGAGCAATACTTTTAATTAGCTGTCC